GGAGGACGGGCTGTGTTAACAGTGTGGTGGTTCGAACAAAATTCGTCAGTGAAGCACTTGTTCCGGATATGTTCGAACGTCAGCAGTTGTGAGTCGTGTGTAAACCATTTTTCAGTCATTTTTTTTTTTTTTTTTTTTTTCTTTTAGCAGGGATAATCCTGCGCGGGCCCTAAGCCTCTGGCTGGCCCACTAAGTGATGCTCGTTTCTGGTTTACCTGGGCGGAGGATGAGTATGTATGACCCGTATGGTCGCTTCAGTAAGATTTTGTTTTCAGTCATGAACAGGAGGCTTGGCAGGTGGATGGAATGGACTTTAGGTGTTTCTTTGGAGAACGGGCTGGAATACGGCCTGTGCACAAAATACATTCAAGATTCAAGGTAGTAAGGAGAACGATAAACCACAACATACGACTTGTTTCAGATTTAATGATCCATAGCCACTTCATGGATCGCTTTGTGGTTAGAAGTGTGTTGCAATTGCCTTTTTTTTACACAGGTGGATACAGGAGCAGACGACTTCAGACATCTGTTAGCAAACAGAGAGCGTTTCTCTAATCCCCTTAAGGCTCATGGTAATTCTTAAACTACTATTTTTTTACAAGTTACTAGAAATGATGACCTTACAGTGACTGGCTTAACGGGCTCCTACTGGAGCTAGAGTTGGGCTTTATAACAGGTGTTATAAATATGTTTCCCAAGTCCTATTAATCTGTTTGTAATAAATTTTACCTCACATTTTGTGCCGTTTACCTTGGCAAAGGCAGGGTTTAATTGTGCATTTTTCCAATGTTTTTATTATGTTCTTGGTGGTTTAATTATCCCAGCAGTCTTACTTGAAGAGATAATATGACCTGATTAGATACAGCCTAAATTACCCACTACGGAAAAAATTAATTATTGTAGATCAGACCACACACTAGAAGTTGAAGGGACGACGACGTTTCGGTCCGTCCTGGACCATTCTCAAGTCGATTGTGAATCGACTTGAGTCGACACAATCGACTTGAGAATGGTTCAGGACGGACCGAAACGTCGTCGTCCCTTCAACTTCTAGTGTGTGGTCTGGTCAACATACTTCAGCCACGTTATTGTGACTCCTCGCCTGCTTAATTATTGTATTTTTTTCTTAACTCCTCGTGCAATGAAGGCGTGAATCAATCACGCCTGATTGCAATCACAATCAATCTCAATCAATGGCGTGAGTGCTTGTATTGACTCTGATCACCAGTTGAAGGCAGCGTGAGTGGCTGTGCTCTACAAACCACCTCTCACAATCCTCCCACGCATAAGTCTTGCCATAAAAGTGAGCTAACAAATGCGTAAATTATACACCTTCGCAGCGCTCTAATCAAAACCTTCTAGTATCATTCCAACTCCCAATAATTTGTGGATAACGAGGTGAGACATGGAAGCTGCACCAGCCTGCTTCCGGGGGCGTTGCCTCGCGGATAACCGCTCCTCCCTGACATTAAATAAAATATATGGCTGTTGGCCAGTTACATAAATCTCTTCTTAGCTCCAATGTATTTTTGGAGGATGAAACGAAAACTGATATCCTGCTGGATATCAGTTGATTGTATTCCCACACAAGTTGATGTATCCACCACTGGGTAATGTATCTACTACTGATAAATGAATCGCCTGCTTTTACTCTCTGATTGTGATAGGAAAGTTAATAAAGATAGTGAGGCAATATACGAAAGCTGGATTAAGTTAGAGCTGAACCACCTTTACTAACTTTGTTATTGTTCCATGGCTGGTTTAGTGGCCCCAAGCCTCTAACCCGTATCCCGTCAGACGGTCACTAGCAGTTAATATACCTGGCTTCATTGCGCAATATTTACTGTTAATAGCCCCTCTGCTTCTATTGTTGACTTTTATGTTTCTTTAAGATTATCACTAGAGTCCTGAGTCTACTATTTTGGTGAGGCTGTCAGTTGTTAACACCCGAGAAAATAACATACACACAGAAATCACAATTGCGTGATGCTTCAGTCGATTTAGGCAGCGTCTGGGATGCTCCCGGACGCAGGTTCGAATCCTCGTCACGGCCCTTGTGGATTTGTTCATTTAAAATAGCATACTTTGGGGTACTATTATGATTTTTACATGTAATAGGCATTATTTAATATGAATTTATCCAGGGTTCTGTTAGGAGGACAAGTTGGGTTGCCATGAGAAACACAGGTGAGATAATTAGTAAAAGATGGATATAAATATTTCCTCGGCGTCAGTCCTCAGTGTGTTATCGTGAACGACACGTTTTCAGACGTTGTCAATTAATACTGGCGTTCCTCAGGGTAGTTTACCTGGCCCACTCCTTTTCTGTATTTGCAGAAATTATAAAAAAAAATGCCACACTACACCTTAACCCAATACTCTTTGCTGATGACACAAGCACTATTTTCTCAAATGCTGAAACATTTAATATAACTTTCACAGTAAATACTAAACTAAAACAAACAAAAAAAACATGTATGCCAGAACACAAACAAACTCACACAACACAAAAAAAACGAATAACAATCCGAAATAAATCAACGAATCAAACTGAACTAGTAATAAATAACACCCAAACTGAGAACAGAGTTGCAGGGAACTTCCTTAAGAAAGTTCACGTTGACAATAAATTTAATTTCAATTGCCTTATACAATATACACAAATATAAAAGCATCTAAAAGGCATGAATATTCTCTAAAGTCCGGTACTATGTAGCTATATGGATATATGTAGATATATGTGCTCTGCCTTGATTGCTGTTATTTACTCATATATGCATATATCTGACTTGTGGTATCTTCACCGGGGAAGCCTCAATGACCTCAGACATGTAATTACTCAAAATAAATTCACGGGCTCACCATAGCCCGTGCTACTTGGAACTTTTTGTTCCGGGTAGCGAATCTTTAACAACAACAACAATTGGCCATTCGAACAACAAACACCAATCACAGACAGCATTCAGCGCTCATATACTATAGTTTTACTAAAAATCTCTTTATTAATAAATCAATAAAAATAATAAATACATAAACATTAATAAATGGTATATATACCTTTACTAATATTCTTCATCATATTATGTCATTTGTATTGAAGTAGATTTAATAATATACATAATACATAATACAGAATTTAATACATAAATATTATTAAATTTACTTCAATACAAATGACATAATATGATGAAGAATATTAGTAAAGGTATATATATATCATATATTAATGTATTAAATTCTCTTATAATAGGTAACTGAAGAAGACTCCTGCAATTCAATTTGATGAGATAATTTAGATAAAATAATAAATATATCATTGATGAGATAATTTAGATAAAATAATAAATATATCATTATAGACACTTTAGCAGAACGCAAAGACTGAATATCTGGGTCACCAAAAGAAACATAACAATAACATCTCACTCCATTACTGTGCTTCAGGTGTTTTTTAACATTTGGACTTAAACAAAATGCTAAAAAAGACAGTTCAGTGACGCATAACCAGACGCGTTGGTCTCTGCCACACCACCATCATTGTGTCTGGTGGACTCACGCAACCCGTCAACTGGACTACAGATAATTGATTCGTCTCCAGTATTGTGTTGACTGGGAACTGTCTCCACTCAGCCCCGCCCTGGAGAACTTTCTCAGCCCGGGCGAGAAACGTCTCACCTGAAATCCTTGCACTGTATCCATATTTCACTCCCAGTAGATAAACGACATATGAGATTAAGAGACAAGTAGTGAAGACTAATAATAGCAAACAGCTGCTCCTCTATGACTCTGTAATATCTCCATTGCTCGAGCAATTGTAAATATAAAACTCTTGAAATAGAACATTCTCTATAACTAGCAGACATTGTAATTATATGGTGTGGAGGATAGATGAAATTGTTAATGTAATAATCTCCATTGAGGTCTTATAAAGACCTTTTGTGCCCTCTGTAATCCTTATGCACTAACGCTCACAGGATTAATGTGGGGCGCACAATAAACTAGCCGCCTCCAGAGTCAAATCAAATCACGGTTATCTGATGTGAAATGAAAGATTTACTGTTTTATGAAGATAATACCCACGACGCCTTACAATGTGACCTTAATTAATTAAGAAATTAATTAAAATAGAAATTAATCTTAATTCATTTCCCACTGATAGAGACTATACTACTATTGCACGAAACACATATTGGTGTTGAAGATGATTGTATTTAGATCCGTATTTGTACTCATGTGCTTGTTATAGCACATGAGTACATGTGCTATAACTATACGTCTGGAACAATAGGACCAAATAATAAACCTAACTTTCCTTTAGTGTTGGTTGGTTTTATACAGAGAATTGGGTCCACTGTTGTGTGTGACACAAAGGAAAGTTGATGTATCTATTTAGCAGTCACAAGGCGAATGGTTAGGCTAGGGTAGGTTACGTTAGGCTAGATTAGGTCTGGCTAGGCTAGGCTAGGTAAAGTTCCAGATCTACTGGATACCCTGCATTTGTGTCATATTGGTCATATTGGTGCATATGTTAAACATATGCACCGACCAGATGATCATCTACGAGACACGATCCAGAGAGAGCCACCTGCTGGCCCACAAGGGCCAGCAGGTGGCCTTGAAGGCTCAGTATATAAGCACCAGCCACCACCAGGTGACTGCACTTGAGTCCCGCTCCTGGCACTCCCACACGGCCTCCTCTGAAGGACCCTCGCCGCTGCTATGACCCAAATTAGATTGGTTGGTAAACACCTCGACGTTCTGGGGGTGTTTGGTGATAACTTTTTACAGGATTTTAATACCGAGATGATGTTTACAGTTTTGATTTTTCCGGCCTCTTATCACTCGGGAAATTGACATGCTTGTATCTTTTTTTAATTTATTTAGGTTTATTTTTTTCGTAATACATTCAGTTCAAATGTGAATGTTTCACCAACGTGTGTTGAGGATAATGTGGCAACGTTCTTATGGTACAGACCGCCAGTGTCCTGCTGATGGCGGCGATGCTGATGGCCTCCACGAGGGGGCAGCAGGAGAGGGCCGAGCTCAATGTTAGCCTCCTCCAGGACCCCACAGAGGCCGAGCTCAGTGTTGGCCTCCTTCAGGACCCCACAGAGGCCGAGCTCAGTGTTGGCTTCCTCCAGGACCCCACAGAGGCCGAGCTCAGTGTCAGCCTCCTCCAGGACCCCACAGAGGCCGAGCTCAATGTTAGCCTCCTCCAGGACCCCACAGAGGCCGAGCTCAATGTTAGCCTCCTCCAGGACCCCACAGAGGCCGAGCTCAGTGTCAGCCTCCTCCAGGACCCCACAGAGGCCGAGCTCAATGTTAGCTTCCTCCAGGACCCCACAGAGGCCGAGCTCAATGTTAGCCTCCTCCAGAACCCCACAGAGGCCGGTGTCAGTGTTGGCCTCCAACAGGAACCCGTAGAAGTGGACCTCGTCCTGCCGGCGGAAAGTCAACAGGTCTCGCTTGTGGCCGCTACAGACCTCCTCACCTTCGCTACAGGTACGACTTTAGCTCTGGCGTCCCAGATCATAAATATAAATTAGAAAATAATCCTCTGAGTATAACTTCAAAGCACAGTACATGATTAGTTGACTATTTTATAGAGGAATCCCTGTGTAAATTCGCCAATAGTACACCGTACACATGTACTAAACCAAGTGAATCCTAATTTATTCCCCCCCGCTTTGGTAGGTGAAATGCGTACTAAAAATGGATTGTGTTTCTGGGTGTCCTTAATCCTGTTGTGCAAGAATCCATTAATATTTTCATTGTGTCTGTGTGTGTGCGTGTCTCTGTCTGTCTGTCTGTCTGTCTCTCTGTCTCTCTGTCTGTCTGTCTCTCTGTCTCTCTGTCTGTCTGTCTGTCTCTCTGTCTGTCTCTCTGTCTCTCTGCCTCTCTCTCTCTCTCTCTCTCTCTCTCTCTCTCTCTCTCTCTCTCTCTCTCTCTCTCTCTCTCTCTCTCTCTCTCTCTCTCTCTCTCTCTCTCTCTCTCTCTCTCTCTCTCTCTCTCTCGCATCACCACCAGTTAAGTCGTTCACCGGTTTTAAACAGGTTACGGAGGAGTGAAGAGCCATGGCGGGTATCATGGAAGCTACCATGACAATGGCGGCTACTATGACCAAGGAGGCTACAAGGGTAATGACGGCTACCATGCCAACCATGGCCATAGTGGTAACCACTATGGCGACCATGGCAAGGCCGGATATAGCGTAAGTCTTTCTCAATACAACCCTCACTTTATCTTAGTGATGGTTAATTATTTAATATAACTATTATGTTAGCTATTACTGTCAATATTATATTGGTACAGACTCCTGAAATATTAAATGACAAAGTTTCATGTAATATTGGGTTTCAGTGATCGATGGTGGACAATACAGTTCTGCTTCATTACTCATAAATTCAGCAACTGCCTGACTTTATCTCTGTATCTCCTACCTCGCATTATCTCTGTATCTCCACCTGGCATTATCTGAATCTCCGTCAGTCATAACCTGTCATTATCCGAATCATCACCTGTCATCAGCTCTGTCTCCACCTGCCATTACTATATGTAAACACTGTGAGCATTCTCCCTCCTGCTCCCCCCTTCTACCAGAGCTACCACAACGACCACGGCGACTACTATCGGGGCCACGACGACAAGAACAGGTACTACGGGGGCGCTCACAAGGGTCACAAGGGGCAGAAGGGTCACCACGACGGCTCCAAAGGTCACCACAACAAGGGTCACAAAGATAAGGTCAGTCGCGCCTCTATGAAGGTCGTTCAAGTAGAGCATTATAACCCCCGTGACCTGTAAGTTTAGGTCACAGTCGTGAGGGCCTTCGGCAGGACTTTCGTCGTTAATGTAGTTTAATATGGGGTTAGGGTAGGGCACAAGGGCTTGGTAATTAGGTCTAACATGAACAATTATGTGGTCGTGTTTATCAACTTGGGTGACTGTGCCACAGGGCTACAAGGAAGTGTATCACAAGGAGGAGTACCACCACAGCAAGAAGTTCTACGACGACGAAGACGACACCAAATACTACAACAGCTACGACGACTACGACGACTACTCCAGCGCCCACAGCGGCAACGACTACAATGGCGGCCACTACGAGGTACATCACTTTTTATGGTTTAAATTGTAAACGTTTGATTTGGGAACTTTACCACAGTGAAAAGCACAGTGTTGGTTATCCATAAACTACACAACGGTGCTGTGTAGTTTATGGATAATCATCACTGTGCTTTTGATGCATGCAACCCACCTAGCCCATGCAACCCACCTAGCCTAGCCTAACCTAACCTAAACTAAGCTAACCAAACCTAACAACGCACAGAAAATGGGAATATTTAATTATTTGTAAACGGCTTCTTTCCAGGTCTGACTGTTCCAAAACGTGTTCTTGGCTGCATTCTTGTATGTGTTCACGTTGCAGTGATCTAGATGAAGACTGTTCTTAAGGAGTAGCAGTAGAGTGAGGGGTTAAACTCTTCCCTTGATGGAAGGCTATTGTTCGTCCCCTTTCAGGGAGGACACCACCAAGACCAGCACGACAACAAGGGCTACCACGACAAGGGCAAGTACCACAACCACTATGCTGACCACGACGGCTACTTCGCCAACAAGGGCCACGAGGGTCACCAGAGCTCCTACGGCGACCATGGTGGCTATAGGGACCAATATGGCCACGGTGGTGGTGGAGGCTACGGGCAAAGCGGTCATGGCGGCGGCGGGGGTCATGGAGGCGGCTATGGCCTTGGTGGAGGCGGTTATGGCCTTGGTGGAGGCGGTTATGGCCTTGGTGGAAGCGGCTATGACCATGGAGGAAGCGGCTATGGCTTTGGTGGAAGCGGCTATGGACTAGGAGGGGGATACTAACTTCGCTGATAACACCAGCAGCCAATGAGGAGGTAAACAGTTTACAAACTACTTACCAACTGTTATAGCTCACACGACCAACAGATTAGTATCATTATGTCACTTTTATTTATAACATTTATATGTAAGTTTGCCTGATCTGAATAATTCATGAATGTGCTACTGCAGCGAGGAGGCGGCTCGTATTAACCTAATTTACACAACCACTTGGACTCGACGGAATTTATTTAGGAAAGATTACTGTAAGTGTTAGGATATGTTCCGTACTCAATCATGTTATGCTCAAGTGGATGTTCTAAGGGCTCGTCAGGGCGCTTACAGGCTGAATACCCCAAAAGAATGCTCCGCGCCCGGCATTACTTCCAAGGTTGGGGCTGAGCTTAGGGCCAATGTTGACCAGACCACACACTAGAAAGTAAAGGGACGACGACGTTTCGGTCCGTCCTGGACCATTCTCAAGTCACAATCGACTTGAGAATGGTCCAGGACGGACCGAAACGTCGTCGTCCCTTCACTTTCTAGTCTGGTCAACATTTTTCAGCCACGTTATTGTGACTCATTGTCTGGTCAAGGCCAATATCAACCCCTTGAGCATCGTCGTCCTGAAATCAACAATAACAACCTCTGGAGGGTTATTAATGCCACCACAGTAGCTTGCTGACCAGCCAGAAAGTATACTTTCTGATAATAGTCCAGGACTAAAGTAAACTCAGTGAATATACAGCAAGAACGGGGTATAACGTTCGGGTTACATATCCGTCTTTGTTTAACATTTACGAACAATTCTTTTACCTTGGTTCTTGCTCTCGGTGAATTCCACCGGAGATGTACTAAAATTGTAATCATACACGTATTTTTTACGTTTTATAATATTCATTATTTATTTTGATAAGAGCTTCACTTTATGATGTTTATATTTGCCTCTAGGAGTGTAGAGTGATCGAGTCACTGCTGGTGAAAAAAAAATAGCCAGTCACTCCACTGACGTTCAATTCCCGTTTTCATAATTTTAAAGAAAATGGGAATTAATTATCTCTGTGGCCAGACTCAAAGCATTCTTTTCATAGACGTACAGACTCAAGAACTGCGTATAGTACTATGTGGGAGCCAAAAGCTGATCTTCAGAACAAAGTAGATTAACTGACATGCAGCTCACTCAAGGTTTACGTATATATAATTAACTCACCGCCTTGTTTTGATCCTTCAGACCAGAAACTTCAGGACGCTCCGGACGTCATGAAAAGTCCATGGGCTGGCCACGTCTTTGATAGTCCTACCACCTCGACAGCACCCCCAGCAGCGACCTACTGAAAGAGACACTCATATAAGCGCTGGAGACTATACGTTGAGGGAGGAATGATATATGGACAACTAACCCTTAACCCTCTTCCTAGGGCTGGCATTGTGCACCTAACTTATTGATGACAACACAGCTTCTCTAAATAACTGGACTCCGATGCTCCCATGTGGATACAGCTGTATTTATAGACTGAACTCCATTTGCCTCTTAGTTACTCCCTAGTGCCTGCCTATTTATTTTGTAGTGCATATTTTTTACTGTAAAACTGCATGTGATTTGTTTAATAAAAATATATATATATGCCAGGTCCTGTTATACCTACAATTAAGCTCCCATTTACGGTGTGTATTATCTAGAAAAAGTAATTACCGAGCAGGATTTCATGAATTGTTAATCAGAACGCCATGGAACTACTAACGAAGGACTGCGTTTATTACTGGCAGACTCAAATGAAGCTGACCAGATCTACATTAATTACAGACACAATGTTCCATGATTTTGCTGACCAATTACTGCATTCATTCATGGGAAGAATTAATAACCACCGCAGACAACTGTGACACACACACTCTGCTTTTGGGTCAATCTGTGGACGTTATCGCTCTGAACCAAGGCATCGTTGGCAGCAAAATGGTTTGCCCTCAAGTGACTCGTTTTCCTCACTCACTTTACTGAATGGTTAAAGGTGAGTGCGTGAGTGCGTGAGTGCGGACAATGGTAGAGGCGAGAGCGCGGTCCAGCGGTTTAAGAGGACGCCAGCGTTGTCTGGTAACGCCACTCGTTCTTCTCCTTCACTCTCGTCCCAAAACTCGTTTTATAGCGTTAGGCCTCGTTACCATATTTACCGAAAGGCTCTCGAGTGTAAATACCTAAGTGTATTTACGTCAGTGCAATTTTCTAACTGTAATTACCTAAGTGTAATTACCTAAGTGTAGTTACCTAAATGTAATGACAGAATAAGAGCTACACGTATTGTCTCGTCTTCCCGGGCTATTGTTTAACTGCTGTTGCTCCTGCTGCTTATGCTGCTATGTTGTTGCTTATGCTGTTGCTCCTGCTGCTGATGCTGCTATGTTGTTGCTCCTATTAGTACTGGCTCTGACGGCTCCACCACACACCAGGTGAGAAAGGAAGGTTCATTTCCCTTATTTGCCAGAATATCTGAGGAGACAAGGGTTTTTACAGCATGTCTGCGGTCCAGACCTGGTGATTACTCCACTGACAACTAGTCTATACTGACACTGATGTTCTGACAACTGGTTTACACTGACGCTGATGCCTGGCTGCCCTTGGAGCGCCATCAACACAACACTCGTGCCGCCAGAGGGATGCAGTCCTGTCGTTAGGTCGTGATGTTTGCTCCTGTTGCTGATGGCGCTGTTCTGTTTGTTCTGGCGTTCATTGTGCTGCCCTGTGGCTACTCTCCCTCTTACTGTTGCCTCTCTCCCTTTTACCGTTGCCTCTCTCCCTGTTATTGTTGGCTCTCTCCCTTTTACTGTTGGCTCTCTCCCTCTCTCTGCTATGACTTAATGTTTCTTGAGAGACAGCAGCTATAGGAGAGGAATGTAGTGACATTTGAAGGCAATAATAAACAGATGGAACAGATGATGCAAAACCCCTCCCCACCCCCTTTCTCTATGCCCTTGGGACGGGATCTTTTGACCCGTCTTGTCTGGACGCGTCTGTCCCAACTTGACAGACTTAGGGGGTAATGTTCCTGGGACGGTGTGTGTACAGTTGACTTGAATTCGTCGCTGATTCTGTCATTTATATCATCTAGATTCTTCTAATTATCATTTGCTATATTTAAATTGTAAATAGGATTACTGTTTACGATAGCAGCTTTGACAATACTAAAAATAGGTTAACTATTGTTTATAGTTCTATTATAATAGTTCTACTGTTAATAAGAGCAGGATTTTGATTGTTGTATTATTGTTTTGTGTTAATATAATGTTTAATGGGGGATTAATTGTTCCAAGAAGGTGTGTAGGGAAGACCAGGTGGGGGGGGACCGGAAGCTGGCGAGATACTGTAAAGGATGGATGATGGGGGGAAGGGGGGGGGGTAGATGTGAATATGTCCACACCTGCCGTTGTAGATGTGTCCACACCTGCCACTGTAGATGTGTCCATGCCTGCTACTGTATATGTGTCCACACCTGCCGCTGTAGATGTGTCCACGCCTGCCACTGTAGATGTGTCCATGCCTGCTACTGTATATGTGTCCACACCTGCCGCTGTAGATGTGTCCACACCTGCCACTGTAGATGTATGGAGGCGTGCAGGATGACCATGAAGACCTGGTATGAATTTGAGAGATGGTCTGATATACATGTCTTCTTATGAGAAGAAATGGAAGAGGATGCTAACTAGGATGAGGATGGAGAGACAGCACACGATGAGGGGAAGGCAGATAGTCGAGTCCCAACTACAATAGTATGTGGGAGCATACATAACCACTTGCCTATCACCGGAGTAGCAAATTAACTGGATAACATCAGCGGCGTATGCTAAGCTAGCCGACCTTTGTGTAGCCTACAGGAACCTGGGGAGCTAAATTATCACAACATTCTACACTACGAATATTTTTCTAGTAATAGATTATATTTACTCAGTGTGGAACACCCTTCTTATGAGGTACAAAATAATATTTTACAAAAAAATCGAAAGAAATTACAAGCTTGGTCACTGAAGTAAGAGGACTGAGCTACAAGGAAAGGCTAACAGAACCAGATTTCACCAAAACTGGAAAGAAAAAGAAGAAGAGAGAAGCGCAACAGGATTACGACATATAACAATTTTAGAGACATTATTAAAAAGTGCGCAAAACTGAAATCATGAGCCTGAAGAGTGTCGTGACGAGAGGACATAGAATCCCAGATGAACCATAAAGATGTAAGAAAACTTTCTTCAGTGTCCATTCTAAGAGGAATAAGCCAGGGGGGAATGAGTTGGAGAGGGGAGAGATCCCCCTTCTACACGCAATGTTTACAAAATATGATACGAACCATGACCGTCTGGAGTCATTGCATTGGACAATGTGTGTGTGTATCTTGACGACGGGGCCCCAGGAGCTGAAGCTCGTCCTTCCAAGACATAAAGATGAGAGGAAGAAGGTTTATGGATAAAGGGTAAGGGGAGAGGGAGGGGAGTGAATGGGTACAAGGGCTGGAGTCTGGTGTGTGGGATCCTAGATAACAGTTAGCGGCCGGGAGGTGTCTGGAAACTCATATTACACAGCGTAAATCTCCTTCCCGCCCGCTGCCGCCCGCTGCCGCCCGCTGCCGCCCTCTGCCGCCCGCTGCCGCCCGCTGCCACCTCTGGTCCACCTAGAAGTAACGACCCACTGAACCTACCATATGCATGTCGAGGTTAAAAAAAGGGGGAAGCAAAGAAAAAAAGGGGTACGGACAGAGAAAATAGGGTCGAGGGCTGCCAACGATACCCGTAAGACCATTTCAGTGTCAGTAGAGGGGCTGGTCCACGGAAGGTTCCGGTCCAGGGCGCGGAGCTGAAGTTTGG